CGCCTCCACCATAGACTTTGCATGTAAACCTGCTGCTCCTGACGCTGAAATCGCGTTTGGTGTGAACGCACCATAATGGTGAATGCCATGGGCTTTCATGTGAGAGTTCACGGTTCAAAACCCAGCTTCAGCAACTTTAATAACAATTCTCTTCAATCTTCATATTGTCACACAATTACCCTCATTACAAACACCTGCTGACATGACAGGCACAAGCTGGTATAGAAATCACATTTGAACTTGGTCACATTTCATTCTGCAAGTCCACGGCTGCAGGCAAAGCCATGCTGCAATGACATGCTACAACGCAATGCACACTTGTTTTTACATCGTAAAAACCCATGTCTAGTTACTGTTGTTGTTGTTGTTGTTGTTGTTGTTGTTGGTGTGAATATAGTTATAATTGTTCATACTGTTTGTTTTCAGTGGTTCCTGCAGATGTTCAGCAGTTGGTGTTGATTCCAGAAGAGGCTACTGAAGAATGGAGGCCTGGTGTGGACCAGCAGGATCCAGAGCCCCTCCACATAAAGGAGGAGGAGGAGGAGGAGGAACTCTGCACCAGTCTGAAGGAAGAGCAGCTCAGTGTGAAAGAGGAGACTGATGCCACCAGGTTTCCCTCCAATGCTGTTCCTTTACAGAGTGATGATGATGATGAAGAGAAACCTCTGTTGTCACAGCTTCAGCAGCACAAAGTAAAAGACCATGATCTTCCAACCAGCAGCTCAGCTGTCCAGAAGGAAGCAGCGACTGAGGGAGGAGACTGTGTAGCAACAGAAACTAAAAGGGACCAAGATCTGAATACTGATGAAGGTGATTTAGACTCTTCAGAGACTGAAGTCAGTGATGATGATGATGATGATGATGATGATGATGATGATGATGATGATGATGATGGGAACAATCCTAATTTTCAGCTAAAATATAAACCAGATTCTGGGTCAAAAACTGAAAACAGTTACAAAGGCTGGAAGAAGAGCAGACTTCATAAGTCAAGTTCAAACAACACATCTTCGATCTGCTCTGAGTGTGGGAAGATGTTTGTCAACAACTATTCTCTTCAGAGACACATTAGGCTTCACACAGGAGAGAAACCATTTGTTTGTCATGTTTGTGAACACAAGTTTTTTGATAAATCAACTTTAAACACACACATGAGAATCCACACAGGACAGAAACCATTTGTCTGTGATCTGTGTGGACAAAGGTTTGGACAAAAGTCAACTTTAAACACACACATGAGAATCCACACAGGACAGAAACCATTTGCTTGTGATGTTTGTGACCAAAGATTTAGCCGCAAAACAAATTTAAATGCACACATGAGGATCCACAAAGGACAGAAACCATTTGCTTGTGTTGTTTGTAAACACAGATTTATCGATAAATCAAATTTAAACACACACATGATGATCCACACAGGACAAAAACCATTTGCTTGTGATGTTTGTGAACAAAGATTTAGTCGGAAAACAAATTTAAATGCACACATGATTATCCACACAGGTGAGAAACCATTTGCTTGTGATGTTTGTGAACAAAGATTTAACTATAAATCAGCTTTACACAGACACATGATTATCCACACAGGACAAAAAGTATTTGCTTGTGACGTTTGTGAACAAAGATTTAGCCGGAAAACAAATTTAAATGCACACATTATTATCCACACAGGAGAGAAACCATTTGCTTGTGTTAATTGTGAACAAAGATTTAACTGTAAATCGGCTTTAAACAGACACATGAGGATCCACACTGGGCAAAGACCATTTGCTTGTGATGTTTGTGAACAAAGATTTAACCGCAAAACAAATTTAAATACACACATGATGATCCACACAGGACAGAAACCATTTGCTTGTGATGTTTGTGAACTAAGATTTAGCCGCAAAACTAAATTAAACACACACATGATGATCCACACAGGACAGAAGTCATTTGCTTGTGATGTTTGTTAACACAGTTTTTGCCGCAAAATTTTTTTTAAATGCGCACATGAGGACACGGATTTTTCGAAAATTCCACTTTAAAAAGACACACAAGGATCCACACAGGACAGAAACCATTTGCTTGTGATGTTTGTGAACTGAGATTTAGCCACAAAACCAAATTAAAACCTAACCACAAAACCTAATTTCCCTATGGGATCAATAAAGTATTTTTGAACTGAATCGAATTGAAATTAAACACACACATGATGATCCACACAGGACAGAAACCATTTGCTTGTGATGTTTGTGAGCGAAGATTTAACTACAAAGCAACTTTAAACAAACGATGTTCCACACAGGAGACAAACTATTTCTTTGTGATGTTTGTGACCAAAGATTTAGAGATAAATCAACTTTAAACGATATGAGGATCCACACAGGACAGAAATAATTTGCTTGTGATGTTTTTAAACACATACAATAAAACCTTAAACTGAACTGTACTTTAAACCCAAATGTCTTTGTGTATAATTTAAAAATGACTTCTTATTCCAATAGTTTTGGAGGAAACTATTTCAGTGTTTTATTTCTGTGCAAAAATCCACATTTTAAATGACACAAAATGAATGCTGCAGTAGGATCACTTCTTCCTTACTTCAGAGCCTCAAGTAAGATGATGGATGGATGGATGGATGGATGGATGGATGGATGGATGGATGGATGGATGGATGGATGGATGGATGGATGG